GCTATATGCTCAGTTGGAGTGGTGACTATTGCATTTAATCCTGTGAGCAGCCCTTCACCATGGATTATTGCTCTCATTTGACAGATGATGAAATAGATTCAGAGTTGTTATTTTGCCTGAGTTACTTACAATGACTAGATGTGTGATCCAGGACAATTCGCTTCCTTTCTCTCTGATCTTTCAGTTTCCTCTTCTTTAGAAAAATGGTGACAAAAACAGTTGCATCAAAAGCTTGCTCTGAAATCAATAAAAGGGGGAAAATAGAATCTCTTTCTTACGGCATAATGCCAGATGCTAAGTATAAAGGAAAAATGGACCTAAAATTCACTATCATGCAGGGGAGAATCATAAATGGAGGCTAGAACTAGTGATCACCAGTTTGAGGAGAAACAGAGTATTTACAAACTATTTCCACACAAACTGCTTTAATTATAAAGGAGGGAATAGGAACTTCACTGAAAAAACTAGCAGACACAGCCTCAACCAAATGATACAAGTCACTTAAGATCACCACTATTGGAACAAATAAACATAGTGCATAATTTTGAAATGAGGCTCTGAGAAGATCATAACATTCTGGTATTCCCAGCCAAAAACAAGCTAGGAAAAAGCATAACCTGAATCTAATATGAATTTAATCATGAGGAAACAACACACAAGTGCAAATTGAGGGTATTTAACAAAATAAACGGTCTGAATTCCACAAAAATGTTAAGGGTAAAGAGACTAAGAAAATGTTCCAAATTAAAGAGAGCAAAAAGAGATGGTAACTAAATATGGTGGTTGATCCTGGATTGAATCCTGGGCCTTATTATTATTATTTTACTATAAAGGACATTAGCAAGACAACTGGTGAAATTTGAGTAAGGTCCAAGATTAGATAATAGCATATCCAATGTTATTTTCCTAATTATGAGAGTTGTACTCTGGTTACGTAAGAAAACTTCCCTGTTCTTTGGAAAATAAAATGAAGTATTTAGAGATAAAGGGGACATGGTGCATGCCACTTCTCAGGAAAAACATACAGGGAAGGTAAAGGAACAAGAAAGCAGACACAGTGAAATGCACTTTGGGGACCTGGGGGGATGGTATTATTTGTCCAGTTTTTCTGTATGTCTGAAACGATTTCAAAATAAAATTTTAAAAATAAAAGAGGTTTTAAAAAATCCCTTGTTCTAAGGATTAAATAAATTAATACCTACATAGGACTTAGAATATAGGCCTTAAAATATCTATGACTAGGTATTCTAAATATTACTACCATACAATAAAGAAGTGGCAGGGTCACCTCTGTATGGCCCTTAATGCCCTCATTCTTCACTTTGTAATTCAGAGTTGCAGAAAATCCAATGAGATAATAGACAGGAAAGCCTTTACACATGAACTGTGTAGTACTGAGCCCTGGTGAATATTTTGTAAGCTTGCATTGTGAGCTTGGACTCTTGTAACTGTGAAATGGGTTCATTTCTCAGCTGGGAGACTCATTGAGCTTCCTGATTTGACTGCTAACCAAGGAAAAGTTCCTGAAAACAGGAAGGAAAATGCTGAGAAATACAGCCCATCATCAGCTCACAGTGGGTATCAGAAGAGTCCGTGGGGGGCCCTGAGTTTAAAAACAGAAAAGAAATTCAGGTTGTTATGAGGAAACAGATAATAGTGTTGTGCCCGAAGTCGGGAATCCCAAGGAGACCACTAAGGAACCAACACTGGATGCAAAAGCAAGGAGCCTTTATTTGAGCTAGCCCAAGCTCAATCTCACACCGGTACCAGGTGCCAGAGAGAGAGAGAGAGTGTGTTTTCCCCAGAACAAAGGTTTTATGGGTTTCTAGGGCGGTTTGTGGGGTGATGGTCGTGGCCCTGGCTGATTGGCTGGGCCTGGGGGTAGTTGGTGGGGTGATAGGTCATGGCTTTGGTCAATTGGCAGAGTCTAAGGGTGGTGGGTGCACTTTTTGCTGGCTGGAGGAGAGAGAGAGAGACCAAGCTCCGATTGGCTGGAATAGGATCCGGGTCCCGATTGGCTGAAATAGGATCCAGGTTCCAATTGGCTGAAGTAGAACCAGGTTCTGATTGGCTGAGGTAGAGTCCAGGAGCTGAAGCAGAACCCGGTCCTGATTGGCTGAGGTAGAGTCCAGGAGCTTGCCCTTTCAATAGCAAGCAGGTTTCTGATGCTTCCAATTTGTAGGAATAAGCTTCTTCTGTTTGTTGTTATTGTTGCTGTTGTTGTGTTTTGGCTTTGTTTAAAGTACAGGATATTAAATGTGCCAGAAGAACCTAGGAATTTCTCATGAATCTATAGAACTAATAAAAAATTAATATTCTCCTATTTGGGGTGCCTCTAAGCAGTTAAACTAAAGGATGTCCAAATACTTTATTTACCATTACACATTGATGAAAACAGTCATCAAGTGATAGCTTTATGTACAACAATGGGTATCCATTTCTTTAAGGAAGCAGTAGATCAAGCCACTTTAGCCCCACTTCATTTATTAGCCCCAACTGTAAATAATAAAGTCAATCCACTTAAAATTTTACAACAGCGATTTGCATATCTGTCTTCATGTGGTTATTTTCTACAAGTATAAAGTTAATTGTTATTTGGCCACTCTTATTTAACTTCTCATTGAATTTCCTTAAGTTAGTCAAGACATCAACTTTTTACAGCATGTCTGCAAAGGAACAGGGAGTATATAAAATACAAATACACTGTAAGAGGTGTATAAAAATATCTTCCTCCTTCAGCTTTCAAGTGTTTTAATAATGGTTAATATTATTTATTAATTACTACAATTTATTATGTATCACACTGCAGGCACTAGAGGAGACACTTGTAACACACGATCTCTACTTACACCAAATCTTTAAGCTGAGTACTATTCACACATTATAGGGAAGAGAACCTAGGCCCATAGAATTTGTGATCGGCTGGGAGGCGGGCCCTCAGGTGATAAGGGGTGGATTTTTCCGTATTACCCCCTTTTCCCAGACCCACTAGCCTCCGGACTCTTATCAGGACATTAAAAAAAAAAACAAAAAAAAACAAAATCCCCCCAAAGAACCCCCTTAGTCTTCGGCACAGTGCTTTTAAAGCACACAAACAGCGTTGTGACATACTGTCCTTTCATGCAGCTGCACAGAATTCCAGATGGCAGAAACTGTTAACATAATGGGGGAAATACTGAGTAAGCGTTCTGGCCCCCACTTCTGATTGAATACTGTGGGTAAAATTGTAACATTTCCAGAATATCTCGCCTGGCTTTAGTTCATCTGCATGTCAACAGGCGTTCAGAAGTGGAAAGAAGTATGGCTTGAGTGCATTTGCATCATTCCTCAGGGGTGGAGAAGTTCATCTCCGTATCAATGGGTAATTACTTGGACTGTGGAGGGCTTATCTGTACCTGAGAGGGGAAGGGGGGGCCGGTTTTGCTGCTGCTGGAGTTTTGTAAGCAGTAAACAGGTTTTAAACTTTACTTCTCCCTTTGACTGATTTCGGTTTTTAGAGGTATTTTGTCCTCCCCGGACTTACAATACGCAGTATTTTTCCTAGTTTTTCTTGCACTCCTGTGATATTTTACATTTCTGTAAGCTTCCTGAGGGTAGGAGAGATTTTATTCAATTTTGCATGTCTACTGCCTAACCCAGAGTCCCCAGCACAGAGTAGGCAATCAATAAATACTGAATGCATTGGGTATTTAATCTCTAAAAATCCTCAGTTAAATGAACATACGTAGGAATTTTTCAATAGTACGCTTAGTGTAGGACTTGTATCTCAAAAATGTTAGCCCCAGCAGGGACCTGGGACGGATAGAGAGCGGCAGGTCCCTCGTCCCTCAAATGGGCACTACCTCGCCCCACCTGTGGGCTCTCCCACACCTGAACGGCTCGCTCGGTCCGCGAGAGGACCACGGGGTCCCGGGGAGCGGGACCACCGCCAGCGGCGCGCAGCCCGCTGAAGTTCAGAGGAACGCGTTTATCAGCAAACAAAGGGCGGCGCGGTCTCGGGCCCTGCGGCCAGCTGCTGCCGCCTCGGCAGAGCCGGAGGGCCGCGGTGACAAATGGACATTCCGCGCGCGGGCAGACAGACATCCGATCTGCGGCTCCCGGCGGCCCCAGCAGCCGGCTCCAGCTGCCGGGCCCACAGCCGCCGTCCGCTGCTCCACGCACGCAGAGAGCAGCCCCGGACGCCACCGTTCCAACTTTCCGTCCCTCTCGGGACTGGGGGCCGGCGGCAGGGAGGGTGCGTAGGTGGGGGCCTGCTCTGGGCCGGGCGGGCGGCCCCTCCCAAGTGCGAGGGGGTCGCTCCCGAGTCCAGCCCAGCCCTCCCACGCCTCCGAGAAGCTCTGGGAGCCAGGGCCCAGGCGGCAGCGCGGATCCCGCCGAGCGGGAGGAACAAAGGGAGCAAACGGGCCGGGGAGGATGCTGCGCTCCCCTGCGCCCCACCCGGGCGGCTCACGGGCGCTGCGTCGCGCGCAGGTAGCCCGGCCTTCGGCGCCTCATAAAGGTGTGCGCAACTCGGGTACACAGAGGCTCACCTCCGCGGGGCCAGGCGCCCGGACTCCCCTGCCCGCCACCCACAGCCCGTCCACATTCCTGCAGTCCGCCGACGGGGACCCGAGTGCCCGCCGGGTGCCAAGCGCGATGCTGGCAGAGCTCGTGCAGGTAACCCTCGGAGGGACCTGGGTCGGCTGGGGGCGGCGGCCGGGAGAGGCAAGCCTTCTCAGGCAGTCGCGCCTCCCGCGCGCCGCACGCCGCCCTGTTTAGCAGTCGCTCTGCCAGAAGCACGGCTCAGCGCGCAACCAGGCAGCGTCCCGCGGTGCTCCCCGCCTGTGCGAGCCAGCAGGCCGGGAAGCGAGGCCAGGGCGCGGGGGGCGTCCGAGCAACTTCCCAGCGCCCGGAGCCCGCCGCTAGGTGAGCCCAGGCCCGGGAAAGAAGGGACACGAGCGGAGGCGGTGTTGGGAGGGGGCCGGGGCGGGCGGAGCCCGGGGGCGTGGCGTGGCGCAGGCTTGGCTCTGGGGCCCGAAGCCGACTAGCCCCGGAGCTCCGGGCCGCGGTTCCACCCGCCGCCCGCGCCCCCGCGCTGCTGCGAACAATAAGGCGCGCGGCGAGGGGTTGAGCGCAGCCCCGTGCCGGACCGAGGCGGAGTCCCGCGCCGTGCCTGAAGCCTGCTGCCCAGGGCGACCAGCTCCGGCCCCGGGGAGGCGGTTCGCAGGCCGCCCGGGACAGCTGTGCGGGTTGCTCCGGGCTCCCGACGTGGCACCAGGAGGCTGCTTGGAGGCGGCTACCAGCAGGAGAATCTGAGCGGCGCGCTGGGCGTCTGCAGCCCCCAAGTCCCACGGCGCGCGCTGGGCGCGCCCGACCCGGGCCCCTCTCCAGCGGTTGTCCGTGGGAGCGTGGGAGCGCGGGGCGCGCGCGCCCGAGCGGCTGCTAGAGAATAAAATGTGACACGCACGGCTCCGACTCCAGCGCCGCGCGGCCGACGAGCGGGGGTCGGGCGCTTACAGGCGCGCAGTGTCCGAAGAAGGTTGGTCAGGAGGCCCAGGGGGTCGGCGGGGCGCGATGTCTTCCTCCCGGTCGCCGCAGCCTGTGCGCTACTCTGTACGGAGTTAGACTCGGTGACCAGGAGCCAGACCTGTTGTGGGGGTCTCGGAGGGGAAAGGGGGCGAGCGACGTTGATTTTGGGGGAGAAGCAGGAAATTCTTAAGAGAAGGCGAACGAACAGTAGGGCGTGCGCTTTGGGGACGGGCGGACACAGTTTGCTCACCAACGGTGATCGTTTAATTTGGCCCCGGAAGGGAGATTTTTAATCGTTTTTTATTCCCGTGCAAAACTGCAATTCCTAAAGCTTAAAGGGTGTTCTATTGATTTCTAGTTTTCTGTAGCTGTTATGTTTAGGAGCAGTAGGGATCCTTAGTATCCTAAATACCAGGCTGATAATTCTTACGCACTTGCACAGGGAAAACTCGTGCTTTTGATTTGTTTTACTTCCCACCGTGTGCAGAGAAGATAGTAGATGCCTTCTTTTGAGTACGTAATATAACCCATTTCGTTCTAATTTGACGGTGCTGGGGAACCAGTGAAGTTAAACTCGTGGCTCTCAGCGAGTGATGTCTTCCGAAGCGAGCTGAATAGCTGTATTTGGAGCAGCCCTGCTTTCCAGGAATTTAAATGAGACTTTGTGATGACCATCCAGGTCTCCCCTCTCAGTACCGTATTTGTTTTCTCAGGTTGAGAAACTTTTAAAGCTGTTTTATAATCCGAGAAGCACTTTGGGAGAAAAGTAAGGCCTGGCTGGATTTTTGTGAACTTATTTTTAGTGGTCATGCTGAAAATGTGAAGAGAGGAAAACCATATTTGGTCTAAATCTTTGCTTTTCTGCGCCGCTGGCGTCCTAACCGTGGAGGGGTGCGCTGATCGTCCTCGCCGCGGCACTGTGCGTGGGCGAGGGTATTGTTGGACTTGCAAACCAAAGTACTTTCTGCATGTGTACAAAGCCTCATGCGGGTTCACTTGATATTTAAATCTCTTGAAATTTTGGTCACCGTATATTGCCATTTTGAAATGAAATCTGTGACTAATGAAGAATTTCAAGAATGAAAATGCTCTATGTCGTCCTGTTGCAAACAACGTTAATACCTTTTCTTTAAAGGAAAAGTGATGTGTGGCCTTGAACTTATTTTACCTACTCTCTTCCATTGCTTTTCTGAAACTGACAACCCACGTTTTTACACTTGAAGGCTTGCATTTTCTAATAATGCAATTAGAAAAACTGTTGGCAGTGGTGAGTGCATGTTGTAATCAAAATGCAGAACAACCTAATATAATAGGTGAATTGCCTTGATTTTACAGCCAGGTTTTTAAAAAGGCACTCAAACATGTTGGATTGTGGTTTTTATTGTGGTTGAGAGAAATTGTAGCATTTTACCTTTTTGCTGATGCAGCTGAAGCTTCTGGAGTTTTGAGCTAAATTCTTGTGGAGGTTATAAGATAAGCCTGAGCTTTTAGGAAGTTCTGAGCCGCACAGTTTAGAGAAGAGGTGGAGACAGTTGGAGTACCTGAGAGCAGAGACCAGCCTTTGGTGAGTCTACATAATCTAAGAAGTAAAGGTAAAGAAATGAGGATACTTACACTGGAGGATCAAGACTGAAATAATCTAATATTGGAAAATAAGGGGATGGATTTATTATGTGGAGAAGGGCAATCAATTATGCTCAAGGTGCTGATGAAGATGATTAAGAGGGAAAGGATTTACTCCCAGGTGAAGGCTTCTCTTGGGTCTAGGGAAGGATCTGTGGCCAGCAGTGAGACTGGTTAAATAATGCAGTGGTTGCTGAACAATTCCTGTAGATGCTGGTTCCTGGGGATTTTTCCTTGTGATTCTCCTCCTTCTGAGATGATTTAAGTGTGTGAGTCTCTGATCTGTTGCTTGCATGATCTGAAATTTTGTACTGTAGATCTAGAATTTATCCAAGCATTTCTCAAGTGCTTATGCCTTCCCTAAAATGGCAGTCTTATTTCTAGGCCTAAGGAAGTAAAGATGGGTTCCCTCCCCAAAACTTGGAGATATTTGCCCTTTGAGAAACTTTGAATTAATTTTCAGATTTGGCACCTCACTTTTGATATTTTTGAATAAAAATATCATGCATTGCTAATAGGGACACAGTCTTAAAAATATTCACCTTCTTTTTATGTTGTTTAGCTGTGTTTTCCTCCTGATCTTCTGTTACATGTTCTTAAATTTTAATTGTTCATTAAATGAAATACCTTAATTAACTAGCTTAAACGTCTGAGTGAAAGATAGTGCCCTCATGGTAGGTGTATGTTAAGTTTTGAGTTTTTAAGCATTGACAGCAAGCTCCTCCTTAAAAGAAGAACCATGGGATGAAATTCACAACTGACTGTAAGAGAAATAATTAGATAGAATCAAGTACTAATTTTGGAATCCAGAAAGTGCAAGGGATACATTTAGCGGCAGTGTTCCATGTTCTTAACAGGTTGATGTCTAGGCTGAGCACTGAGTGTACTGCAGAAGGTGACCAGCTATAAAATGAACTACTGTTTGCAGATGAACATCAGACTTTCAATTTCATATATCCTTCCTTTCTCTGAAAGTCCACCTTCCTACTTGTGAGAGATCTGCTTGTAAATGTGAATTTATTATGCCCCTTAGCATATCTCATCCTAATCTGAAATTCCAAGCTTCTCCATGAACTGATGGGGAACAGTTGTGATTCGGAAAGCCTGGCACCCACTCATCCTGTGGGTGGACGGCAGCCATACATTTAAAGCATGTGAGGTATGAGCTGGGTAGTGCTAAGGCTTTGTAGAAGTTGGTGATTTGGCCCAGCACTATCGTTGGTCCCAGATGTGCTGCTTGGGTAAAGCTGTTGCCTGGCTGCTATCTTCACTTGGTCACCTACAGGTTCTGGGCAGTCCCACAGCACCAGGTCCCCTCCCGCTTTTGGGGAGGAATTGTCCTGGATTGAGGTGAATCAGAGAAATGCCACCCACCCTGTGGGAGTTACATCTGCACAGAACTATCCTGTTCCCTCCCCTGGTTTCTGCTGCTCCCTGTGGTAGGAAACCTAGAGAACTAGGAAAAATTTCAGAATTGAAAGCAAACATTGGCTCTCACAAGCTAAATGGGTGTGAAGGTTGGGTTTGCAGTTTTGCACTAAACCTTCCCAGAAAGCCCAGAAAGCCCAGCAGCAAGGAAAGCTTGTGGCCAATACCCTCAGAGTCCCAGGGAGGGCTGGCCCTGTGGTAACCTGCCCCAGAGGCAGTCTGAGACTTGTGTGTCAGTGTCTGGGGCTGTAGGATCAAGATTTAGATTAAATCCTCTGCACAGTGTCTTCTGCTGCTGTGATTTCTTGAGATTGGTAATTGTGTATCTGTCATTCATAATTGCTATACTCAGAAGACAATTAAGCTTTAGTTAACATACTGGGCATCCCCTGAAACACCATGTAGCCCAGGGAGAGGAGTAATTCAAAGACTAGAGGCTTCAGACTTACTGTGCACCACACCGTGCCATTTGCAACACACAGATTATCAAAGTGTGCTTGAGCCCCAACCCTGGACGATTATCCCCATTTTACAAGTGAGGAGACTGAGGTTCAGAAAGATGAAGTGCCTTCCTCAAAAATCCCATAGTGCGAAAATGACAGAGCTGGGACTGAGCCTGGGGTTATGTGTCTTCAGTGTTGTTGCTGTGAGACTCAGATCTGGCTCTACAGGGGAATATGACAGACTCCTGCTGTTCACGTGTTGGGGCCAGAGAAGGACTGTGACTGTGAGCTTCATGCCTCAAAACATGGCCGAGCTTGCTGGTTAGGAAGATTGTACCAGACGGAAGGGGTGGCAGGGGAACCTGTGTAGACAGAAGGCCCATGTATTCCCCAGAACCTAGTGGCAGAAAGAGGCTTGAGCTGCAACTTAAAAATGACCTCTGAAATTTGCAATGTCCAGGCAGTCAGTGTTAGAATGAAATTCAGGCTCATGAAATGTGTCACAGCAAGCGAAATTTCCAAGGAAAATTTAAGCTAAGATTCGAGAAAATTATCCCTATGCTTTGAATTATTAGGTTGGTGAATTATCTGGTAAACTCAGAAAGTAGTCTCTTGGGACACTTAGAAATATATTGGCTAACACATTAGAGAATACACTGTAAAGAAAAATCCTGCAATATCTTGATTATAAGCCTCTGCTTTCAGAAGTTTATAATTCACACATTAAGTTTTACTCTAGGCTGCTTCTAGTATTTGAGCCTGAAAGGAAATACTTTATTAAATTTAAAGCAATTGGTTTTCCTTGTTCAAATTATACAAATTTTTCAAGTAGAGGTTCTTGCATGTTGGTAATTGTTGTGGTTTCTAAAATGACTTAACTGTAAATTAAATTTGGGAAAGGGTAGATCTCTTGGATAATCTAGTAGCTTTCATTATTCAGAAATGAATTTGAAAACTAGCTTCCTCAAATGTGTAGTGATGATGTCTCTGAAATATATTACTATGTGTACCTGTACCTCAGACCACAAATGGGTAGAAATAATACATTTGATGGAGGATCTGCTTTCTAAATGACATAGTTAACCCAGTTACAACATGAAAATGATAGGTGCATAGTTAAATGAATGAATTTGTTTTTAATATTAGAAGAGGGATCTTGCTATATAAATCATATTTTAAAGTTGGGAAAACTATTCCCCATGACAGATCCCAGTGAAAAAAAGAGGACTGTCTTTAAAAAGAAGAGTGCACACACATAAACTCTCACAGACAGACCCTGAGCTACTATGTTTTTACTTTAGTGATGAGGAGTGGGAGGAACTTGAATTAGAATACCTAATTGTCTGGATGCACAGCTGTTCAACAAAAGCCAGGACTAGACCTTCCAACTGGGAGAAGAATGGTTTTTTTTCACTGTTATTTCTCTCTGAGAGAAATGAATGTTCCAAATTATCAGTGGCCTGGGAAAGATAGCAAAAATTGTTTAGGGTTCAAACTTCACTCTTTATTTATTATA